AAATGTTCCCTAAGATGAGTAACCATTGCCCAAGTAGCTGGGACAACAGGCCTGTTCTACTGTGCCATGCTTGCTACATGAGGCTTTTCTTTTGGTGGTACTAGGGGGGTTAAACTCAGGGCTTTCTGGATGGCAGGCAGACACTCTACCACTTGAGCCACACCCCCTACCACTTGAGCTATGCCTCTAGCCCTACATAAGATTTTTAAAGACAGGAAGTCACAGACTTGTTCTCACATCCAGAGAATACCCTATCCAGAGCAAGCCTTTATCTTCTAACACTGTCTTGCTGAGATGCTCTATGGGTCACCCTGGCAGATGCTTCCCTCACAGTAATGAGTACTAAAAGGAATTTCAAAAACCTGTAAGTGTGTTCCCGGTGCCCTTTAGCTGGAGGTCATGAACAAGTATTATTAACTCTCTTCACATGTGAGGAAAGTTATGCTTGGGGAGGTTTTAAAAAATTCGAGTAGCAACAGGACTAGAAGTCAGACTTTTTAAAGTAGCTAAGACTATGCTAAAAGTATTCATTGATATACATTGTGACTGAATACCTTTATGGCTTTAGGTAAGGCATGCCTGTCTACCTGTTCATTTTTCAGCAGCTGGTCCCTGATACCTGAAAATACTCATTAGTCTATTCCTTTGGGACTGACCATTGTATCCAGATAACAATTACTAATTCTAGTTTTACCCAAACTTAAGTATTTATTTATGGATTGATTTATCAGCTCATTTCTCTTTTGCTGTTGATGATGCAACACTAATGGTTGTCAATGCAATTATATGCCAAGACTAGGGACCGGGGTGTTGAGGGTTCCTAGGTAGTCTGTGGGTGGCAAGTCATGAGGAGTCATGACGGAGACCTTTGGGAAGTCAATGTCTGGGAACATAGAATGTCTGAAAAGACAGGGGTACCAAACAAGAAAGTACAAAAGCACTGAAATAAAAATTCAACAACTCATTTTTTCACTAGGACCAACTTTATATGTTGATCCATATGTTAGGGACAAACACTAGGCTGGGAGCAGGGTTCTAACACTGCTTGTGACAGTCACTGGATTCTTCTAGACAAGACACTAGATCTTCTGGATTCAGTTAAATCAGCTTTTTGGGTTCTCCAATCCACTAATCTCATATTCCTCTTGCTTACACGGAAAGATGATCTTTTATTTAATTGTGGTTCTTGTGCCTTCATCCCACTTACTGAGCATAACCAGTGCTTTTGAGCACATTTATGTGTGCTGAACTATGAGGAAATAAAGAATCTGGTTTTCACCCTGTAGCAGTGGTTAAACAGAATACTACATCTTTTTGTTGCTGCTGCTGCTGATATTATTTTGAGATAGGGTCTCATGTAGCCCCAGCTATTCTCAAACTTGCGATCCTTCTTCCTCAGCTTCCTGAGTGCTAGGATTACAGATGTGTGCCACCATGTCTGGTCCAGAATCTTACTTCTAAGCTAACTGTTAAAAGAGTAGAATATCAAAAATTTCCAAGATAAGTGCTTATGTCTGTTCAACTGAGTAATGTTTTTGAAGAAAAGACTGAGTGCAGAAAAATAATGATAATGTTTCTTCCTAGCTCTGACAGCCCAGAATAAAGCTCCCAGACACAGTAGATGCTTAATGTATGTACTAATTTGACTGTCTTAACTATCATGTTTATAAAATATGATTACATGAAAATACAGACGAATCAGTATCCAATTTGCAAATAAGAATATGCTAATCAGATTTTATTATAATTTTATTACACCTTATACTTTTTCCAAAAAAATAATGAAATGCCTTTGAAATGACAGGACACAAATGAGCTAATTAAGAGGAAAGCAGGTAGACTCTAGCTGCTGACACTGATTGGAACTGAAGGAGAAGGATAAGTCAGTTCTCCTTTCTCTGCTTTTCCCTTTGGTCTCCTCCATTCTTACTCGCCACCCTATGGCTGTCTGACTGTCAGCCGGGAGTGAGGAAGGTTGTAGAATGTAGGAGCCATCACCAGGTAAAAGAGCTGGAGAAGAATTAGGATGAGAAAGTAAAGAAGGTTAAAATGGTTGATGTACTCTCTATACAAGAATGAATATAGATTTTTAAAACTCATTGAAATCACCATAAGAAAAGGACTTAGGCAGAAAGCAGAAAAATGGAGGGAATGAACCAGTTTGGGATACAATACAAATATACATGGAAATGTCATAATGAAGCTCCTTGTATAGATATCTTAAATAAAGTGTCTTTTTTCAAAAATGGATGACAGGAAGGTAACCTAGGTCTTGTCTGTGGGTGGGTACCAGTATGGGGGAATATAAGGAAAGGATGTGTATTGTGGAAATATTATATATTCATGCATGAAAATAGAAAAATAAGACCTGTTGAAACTATTCTAAGAATGGGGGGAGGGTTAAAGAAGAATGATGGAAGGGGTGAATTTAACAAGATATATTTCAAGAACTTTTGTAAATGTCACAGTGTACTTCCAGTACAATAATATGATCATAAATATAAATTTTTAAAAAGGTGAGGCTGGGAAACTTACTAGACATTTCCATGCCTCTTTAACCTGCACAGAAGCAGTGACAGGGATTTTTGATCTCCTGGACTAATTCCACATGACTGAAAGTCTGCAAGTTACAAACCCAAGACTTCATGAGAATAAAATATGAAACTCCAATCATTACAAGTAACGTTACATACTGTTTCATTTGCATGATCATTAATCACAGATATTTGTGTGTGATTTGACAGACCACAATTCTTTCAGAGAAGGATTAGCAAAATATTGAGGGTTCTAGTAACCCAAAGAAAGCTACGTGTTTCAAGAATTTAAAAAAAACTGTTTTATAAAATGGAAGTCAATATATCAAATATATTCTCCAGAGGTAAGATAAGACTTAGTGGGCAGAAATTATGAGAAGGCAGACTTTGGTTCAGATTTTAACATATGAGTTAAAATTTTCTAGTAATTAATTAAATGTCCTACCACTGTGTTAAACTTTCCCTGGAGGTGTTCAGAGATCCAATACCCAGTTAAAAAGGAAATCACAAAAAAATCTTCTTACATTTATATGAGACTTAATTAGTACATCTTCCAACTTTAGTTTCTCTTAGTTTTTTATTCTTTCCTTTTCTTAAATGTTGAAATGCATGGAGATGTCTCATACATGGTATCATTAATGAAAACTTCTTAAGATAATGAAGAAGAGAAATTTCTTAAAGAAACGTCACTACTTCTATATGGAGAATTTCATTCACAGCCCTCGTGAAAAGTTGTGACATCAAATACATACATTTTCAGAACCTCTCTTTTCAATGTGAGTGCCGAATTTAAGGAAAGAAGGGATTACTAAAGGAAACACCCCATGCCTGGGGCATACATATCCATCCTCATTGTTCTGCACTATTTTTGATTCTTCCAATTTACATGTAAGTGCACTTTAATAAATAGTTTGAAGAAAATTTTGGATTATAAGTTTTTTCCAGTATCAAATAATAAAAGCTGTGCTAAGAAGTGGAAATAGACTATGAAAATATTTCTAAAGTTTAATGAATGGTGAAAAACTAGCATAGGAATGAACTCATTTCTTAGGTATTATACATATCATTTTTTTCTTTAAAGGATTCAAGCTGTTTGTTATTAGATGTAATTTTTTTTCCTGTTTTCTCAGATGTTATTTCCCTGACATGCTTACTTCCTATGATGCCTGCTTACAATTCACTTTTTAAAGCTTGGATACAATTTTAATTAAATCATGAGATTTTTGTAATTAAAGTGGATGAGTAACATTGAGTCAGTCCCTCTTCCTTTTAAGCAATCATTCCTAAATAAATATACTTTTCACTTTTCAAAGAAAGGACACTACTTCTTCCCCTACTCCCAAAGCATGTATTATCCTTAACATAGCTTCACTCTGATCTGATTGTGTCAGAAGAATGATAATCAGCAGAGAAAACTGAAGAATGTCTGTGACTTGCAACTGCAACAAGCCAGCTGGCACATTTCCTATCATCTTTATTTTGACATTTTGTTCCTCCCTTAATTTCAGGCAATCCAGGTACCTTGCATTGACTGTGTTCATAGAGACAAGAAATGGAGAGGGCACCAGATGTGAAAATAACATTTGCAAATAACTATTCATGATTAAGTAGATTCTTCAGTAAAATGACTTTCTAGTGATTATCCAAAATAAATATAATTGTGAAAAATCAATTGTATGCATTTAAGACTATGATGTTTTGGAATTTCTGGACCTAAAGTATCTGACAAAGGATTGTTTTGGAAACAGAAAATTAAAATAAATTTTAATAAAAATCATAGTGGGGTATGTCTATTGAGAAATGTGAAAGAACAGAGAGGCCATTAATATTTGAACATCTACACTTAGAGTGTCAGACTCAGTGTAGATTATTTCATTCAGTCTTACCAATTACACTTGGAGATAAACATTATTATCCCCATTCATTCATTAGAAGAAAATGAAGTCTCTTAAAGCTAAAAATAGTATCACAGTCACCTATCTAGTAAGTTACATTTGTCAACATTCAAACCAAGGATCCCCAATTCCAAGGTTTGTTCAGGGGCTATAGTGTCACTCTGTCAGGCAGGCATCAAATAGGCTTGGGAAAGAGTCCCAGTAGCTGGAACTGCAGGGTGCGTCTCAGCCTTAATTTGGGAAACACTACATAGTCCCACTTACCACATGGAGCTATTATGAGATATGAGCACAAAAATAGCCTGGAAGTCATTTTAAAGTTTTACACTTGATGGAAGTACAATGTCAACCCAAGGACTCACTTTGAGGATTCCAACAGTGCCTACTTGAACACTATAGGAATATGTCATCAACTATATGACTTGGCAGACATAGATGTATCTTTTGTGTCAGTCATAGGAGGGAGGCAGGCATGATAGGTTGAAATCAAGAGTTGAAGAGATCTAGCTTGAAGACACATGACATAAAGCCGGATCCATATACCCTTTTGGCAGCTTAACCCAGTACTCACTCTGCAAACAGTCAGCATTGAGGAGGTCCTGACACTTTTCGTGGCACTTCACTCCACACTCCAAACACTTCATGCCTTGCCGTGCAATGCCCCACAGGAGCCCCTCACACTCGTAACAGTAGGTGGGTGTCGTAGCTGTCCAGACTTCAAAATTGTGTGGGGTAGTGGAAGAGATGGGATAGATCAATGCCTGCAAGGTCTTCTTGAATACATGCATTTTCTGTGAAGATGAGAGAAGTTACCAATGCAAATCAAGTTAGTGAATTTGAAGAATTTTAACATTTTTCTCCAATAGTGTTATTTTTGAGACAGCCCCATGATTAGTGATCTAAGTAATGATATTAACCACAATTTCTGTGCTTACTTATTCTTCTCCCAGTGTCCTGAGAACCAATTCAGTTATTTGAACCCCAAAGTTCCCTAATCTTCCAGTCTGGACTGGGCTCCACTGTCATACAGCTTCTTCCATAGCAATCTATGTTCTAATTACTTGACAATGTCCTGCTCTACTACAAATTCTGTGAGAGTTAGGATGGCAAACATTTTACTTACTGCCATATCAATGCTCAAAGCTTAGTCTAGCTCCTGGCTTGAGAAAGGTATTCAAGAAATGTTAATTCAAAACATTAATTTAGATTACCATCCTTAGCCTTAGCTCTTAGTAAAAGTGTGAAATATATAGAAAGCATTCTTCATGCTGACCTTAATCCTCTAGAACCATTCCCACTCCTTTCCTGTTTCCTCCATTATCTCTTCCCTGAGGGCTGCTTTCCCTGACACTCCACCCTTCTCCAGTCCCTAAGGATGTTTCTTTTCTAATTCATTCTGCAGGGAATTGCTTTCAGTACCCCATTACTTACAAAGGATGTTGTCACCTAACTCTTAAGAAAGTACTTGTAGTAGAGAAGATCTTCCATGGCAATCTATATCTTAAAAGGATAGCCTTTTTAATAGCACAAGGAAGGAGTATCTAATGATAAGTTATTGATGGATTATAAAAATCAGTGAACAATTAGCCAGTAGCCCTGTATTCTCTAGGATAGGCCCAATCACACAATAGTTTAAATCATCTTTGTCTTCTTAGTGCTTAAATATTATTTACCATTGCTTCTGGAATGACTGTCTACTGCAGAATGAATAGATATGTACATAAATCTTGTAGAATCTATCTGATAAGGAATGCGAGAAGGGGAAGCATTTAAATTTTGCACCAATAATCCTTAAATATCATTTCAGAATACCTTCCTAACAGGTGGAAGAGACCAACTTTTCATTGTTTTCAATTTCCTAGAATGGTAGAAGAGCTGCATTCCTTCATTGGTGCATTTCCCTCAATCTGTGTTTTCCCAGAATACATTTGGTAGTGGTGTTGGCAGGTATCCTACCAGGGAGTTGAGCTTTGGTAATTTTTTTTCTAACTTTAAATGGCCAGGTCCATCCTTATTACTGCTGGGCAATCCAAAGCACTTTAAACATCAAGCGACTCTACAGAGTAGCAATATAGTTTATTGTGGGATTTAAAGTTAATACAGATAAGTGAATCCATCACTTTTCAATAAAATAGTCGGATCCAAGTAAATCTCTTGGCTTCATTTCACAATGAAGTTGTCATACAAAGAACTATTGAGAATTAAGAGCATGCATTATTCAATTTTGCCTCCCCTTGACTGCCTATGAGAGTGAGTGTCTTCAATATCATTAAAGTGAGTTGGGTGAATTGTTGACTTAACAGATCTTTTACCAACTGCTCACAGAGTCTCCTATTGTATGTGTGCTCTGAGGGTCTAGGGTGTGTGTGTATGTGCATGCACTTAAAATATCATTGTGGCCTAGCTGAAATCTAAGAAAGAAAGAAATTATCAGGCAATTGTTTATCTTAGTAGGAAAAAGAATAGTAATTCTAATTCAATGGAGTTCTGGTTGGGACTTAATGATCTGTTACTAAACTCAAGAAAAGTAAGGAATTTTTATGAATTTCAAAAGTGGAGTTGGTCAAGGGTTGTTTTTGAACATGAACTTATTCACATACCTCAAATTTAATAAATGATTACTATATTTCTCCTAATCCTGTATGCCCATTTTCTTTTTACTGAATTCATAGTTCTATATGTCTTTAGGTTACAGTAGAAATAGTAAATAACACTTGCTGAAAAGTACACATGCTAAAGGAAAAGAAAATGGCAGCCCCTAATAGATGAGAAAGTTTCATTAAAATATTTTGTTTGCTCTGGTTTTGTTAAAATCAGGATCCATATTAAGCAAAGGGAACATGAAGCTAATTAAAAAAAAAGAAACATGGAAATTTAATAGCATATTGAAAATCAACTGGATGAGAAAAACATCAGATAATTCCTTAAACTGTGTGTATATTCCAAGTCCCAAGGAAATGATAGTATGAGTGTTTTTCATTTTAGACTTTGGGATATGGGACTTTGTTTATCAAAGCTGAAAATTATTTCAAGATTAATGGCCTTTGAAAACATTCCTTACTCTAGCAAAGTTTAAGATAAAATGATGATCAGTTTAGAGACAGAGACACTTAATAGCCAAGGAAAATATATAAAACAATCTATTTAATTGAAAAATAAGAACACATTTAAGGTATATACTTCATTGGATGGAATTTTTAAGATCTCAGAAAAATACTACATCTTGGGGAAAGAAGATGCTTTCTCAGCAGCAAAACTAGACTAGTTCAATAAAGATTATAAAAAGGACAGAGAACATAGGAATTTTGTAGAATAAAGCCAAGAGTTAGATCAAGAAGAATTAAATAAAAGCACTGCAGAGAAAAGAATGGGTCCATGGAAAAATGAAAGTCTATGGCTCATTATCAGGAATGGGAGATTTTTTCTGAACTTTAATGTAGCATTCAGAGTAGGTAGATAGAAATTTGCTATAGGTAATAGGGTACTAGTTAAAGGGGAAGAATAAGATTGGGTATGTGTCAAGAGAGGGTCTCTGGCCAAGGTAAACAACTTGGAACCAGATAGTCAGCCCTAAGTTCTCCAACCGTGGATTAAAAGTCCAGAAAAAAATTGTGTCTGTACTTTTTCTTTGTCATAAACTCCTGATCAAGGTAGTGAAACAATGTTTTGCTTGGCTGTAGGTATTATAAATAATCTAGAGATGACTTAAAGCATATGGGGTTTTTTACAGAGGCTATATGCATATGCTATGCATCTGGATTTTGGTATGGGGTATTGAAACCAATCCCTCATGGGATGACTGCATATGGAGGGGATAGTGGCAAAAGTAAGCAGAGCCCTAACTACTATAAGTAGAACTCAGGACAGAGAGATTAGGCAATATGAGTGACTTGTAGCTAATCTAGTCTTAAATGTATTCAAACTTTTAAAGTCTTTGAAGACAAACATATATTATTTTCTAAAAGATGTGCTTTCTAATTATAATAAAGGACATTCTTAGTGAGCAAATGATTTATTAAATAGAAATAAAAATTAAATTTATGCAATTTAATTTTTTAAAGCCAGGCATGGTTTGATGTTCTTTCAGTATTTTTGACACATATAAGCAGGATGTAAAAGTTTGCAATTAAGAAAATTAGCAATGGCAATATTATTTTTACATTTCTTAACTGATTCCAACAAGGCAATTTTTAATGTATACAGACAGTGTTTTAAGTTGTTGAAACGAGAGTAAAGAAAGTTCCACTTTCTGACAAGACTTTGTAGCCAAGTACAACCTATAACACACAAAGGGGGAGGGTGCTCAATGTCCTACACAAATATTTGGTTAAAAATTTCTTCTGCAAGAAATAATTTAAGATAAGCTGCACTAGTATCTCACTTTTTGAAGAATTAGGACACTGGAAGTAAATAAATTGTCAATTCTATTGTACCTATTTGAGGAAACTAAAATCCGCCTGAGAAATAAAGTAATCAGACTTCCAGCCAAAAGCAATGACTAGTGTTTTTGAAATTGCTATTCTGATCTATAACTGTTAGTGATTATATCAGAAGCAAAGCTTGTCTATCTGCATTCTTCATATTCTTTTTCTCTTTTTATTCTACTATGATACCTGGAGACCAAATTGATTTTCCCTCATGGGATCATGTAAATCAAGTACTTTCAATACCCCACAAAAGTCATATTTTGATAAAATTTTTTAAATATATAACTCTCATTTTTAGAATTTTTGAATATTTGGATGGACTTGGTGAAAACATTTTAGGAAAGAAATATATTTTCTGCCCTGCAGTGATACATTTTACTATTTCTGAACAAGAGCATTAGAGAGCTTTGTGGTCAAACAGTAGATACAATGTGAATTTTGAAATTTGTTTTAAATATGAAGAACAATATTAGGTTAACTTTCTAAGTATAAAAACAAACATACTTTCAGTGCCAATAATTATCATGTAAGATTGACTCCAGAAGCTAAACAATTACTCAGGTAAAAGTTTTTGTAGTAGAAAGTACATACAAAAACCTTTAAGCTCTATTCCTATCAATGAAAGATTGTAACTAATTTTATTTTACTTATATTGTTGAAAGTGTACTAAATATCACTTTCCTTAGAAATTTATGGGGAGAGTTCAAAGAAAGAGGGCAAAACAATGATAAAGTAACTGACTCAGCCAATGAAATATAGCACAATACAGGATATGCTTTCTTATAACAGGGAACATGATCTGAAAAGAAATTTGTGTAAACATCAGCCATTTTAATGTGAAAAATCTAATTTTTGTATTTTGTGCACAAAACAAATTTTTGTAAGTTTTCTGGTAGAGGCCATGAAAAAAGCAGGAACAATGGGTAGGATGCAGCAAATGAGTAACAATCGTCCTTCATAAAGATAGTACATTCTATTATCCTTTTGTATAAGAGAGCACAGCCCTATGATAGAACCATGGGAAATTGTGTGGTGACAAACAGTTAATTCTAAAAATAACGCATTTACTATTAATTTACCACGAGTCAAAAATGGATACATGGCTATATAAACACTATTATTTATTCTCTTCATTTACAGTGTAAATATTTTTTGTGTACAGTAAGAACAATTAAAAATAAAAAATCCTATAGATTCAACTCTGTAAGTTAGAAAATCAGTTTCAATGTGAATACAAGGAGAGTACAGAATGAATTTTAGCAGAACAAGCGCAGAAATAAATTAAATGGAAGATGAAGAAACAATTTGAGTCAACAAAGTCAATTCTGATTCTGCGGAAGAAAAACTATAAACCAATATTAATAGTGTTAAATGACACAAGTTTTTATAAGTCAATTTGAGGCTACTAAATTCAATAGTTAAGAAAAAGAGGACTGGGGTCATAGTTAAGAGCTTGCCAAGTATGCATCATACACCAGAACCCCAGTACTGCAAAAATAAAAAAAAATTGAGAGAGAAAAGGAGAAAAGACAACTTTCTGAAGGAAATATAAATAAATATAAGTGGTCAAAATGGAGTCTAGAACGTTTGAAGAACATTCTGCCTTCATAACATTAAATAAGTTTATTCAGTAGTCAAATAACCACCCTTAAAATATACACCATATCCAGATGGTTTTAGAGGCAAATTCTGCCCATACTTCAAGGTGCAGCAATTTACTTATGCAAACCATCTCAGAGAAGCTCAAAAAAGGAAAGCTTCCCAGCATTTTTTTTGTATGTGTGTGAAGCTAGTTTAATAGTGATGCCAAAATGGTTCAAGAATACAACAAGCCACAGGCTATTTTTACTGATGAATATAGATGCAAATATTTATATAATTAGTAAATGTATGAGAAAATCAAGACCAGGTGAGATCCCATGGCCTCAGAGCTAATAAATAGTGGAGCTAGACCAACATGAGCTCCATGACTGTGTCATGAAGGAGAAAAATATTAGGACCAATAGCAATATTTGTAAACAAGACATAATCTTTAAATAAGGCATCATTCCTGCTGGTTTCTGTGTCAGCAATGTCTGGAAAGGTATCTAAGCCCCAACCACACAGGAAACAGGCAGACATCCATGCTCATGGAGGCATTGCTAGCTGACATCTGTCTTCAGATAATAGCATTCTTTACTTCCTTGAAAGAGATGACTGAGCTTTTTACCATATATTTCCTTAATTAGAACTGAAGTGCCATTATTTGATATTTCCCACATGGCCAAGCCATTTTCCTTCATGGAAAGACAAAAATTTCATGCTTCCATATCTAGGAAGACTGTCAGCAACAAAGTGTGGAAATTGTTCACTTCAGCATTCATGTTAGTTGCCCATGTAATGACTGAACACGACAGCATGTCAAGAATGACATTTAATATGCCTGCTGTACCGATGTCATATTTCATTTACTTTTTGAAACATGGGCTCCAGGGAAATGGGCTTTGTGAATTTGAGGGGGAGTTAAAGCACTTAATTCATCTGTCCAACATGCAAGAAAAGTCCTCTACTTAGGCCTTCTAAAACTTAAAAAGTAAAGTGATGTTTTTAAGTTGCTGAATGGTAGATCAATAGCTAATTTACCCAGAAAGTGAGAATCTGGTCCTGTTCAGGGCCTCAGAAAATGCACTAGAATTCCACTATGTTCTATCACTTTCCTTTTCATAGGAATGAGAATTCACAGTTCAAATCAAGTGTTACCTTTAAAGAAAAAGTACAGAAGTTTATCAATAAAATACTTCAATTTTGCTTATTTCTTCAAATTTTGGGGATTCAACAAGTAAGATGGGGTGTTCTCATATACCAGAGGATGTCAGTCAACATTGATTTGTATCTAAACTATTCTCAAAATGTTACCTAGTAGCATAAATCTACTAGACAGGAATAAGACCCCAGGAATGCAGTCAGGGTTGTTTGTTTTTTAATTCTTTTTTTTTAGTGGGACTAGAATTTGAACTCAGGGCTTTGCACTTGCAAAGAAGGCACTCTACTAGTTGAGCCACACCTCCAGTCCATTTTGCTTTGGTTATATTCAAGATGGAGTCTCATGAACTTTCGCCCAGATTGTACTCAAACTGTGATCCTCCTGATCTCAGCCTCCATGTAGCCCAGGTCTCAGGCCTGAGCCACTGGCATGTACTTCAGTTATTTTTTTTTAAATCCTGTGGTACAACAGAAAATGTATTAACTTGCTATAGCCCCTCAATGTTCAAATGGACATGCTCAATCAGTATGAATGAATTCTCCATCCTTTCGCACTGCTGAATGGTATGTGTGCATTTGGATTGGGGAAGCTTGTTACTAGGAAAGCTTGACTTTTGGATGAAAGATGACAATGAGGAACACAGAGGTAAATATTCATCATTAAATGTCATGTACACAAAGTTAAAATAAGAGATTCAATATTTGCAGAACTTGTATTCTATGTAGATGACAAAGTTGCCCAAATTGGGATAGGTACTACATATTAGTTCCTATAAGGAAGGACACAGACAAATTTTCTCAGTAAATTCCCATCTGAGTGTGCAGTATGGAGTGACCACAGCACAGCATCCAAGCCACGAACACTACGAGTTTTGTTTTGTTTTTTTTTTAATCCCTTTTGTACAAGCTGTACCTGAAACCAATTAAGCCAGAATTGCTGGGAGACCCAGGTATCGATATGTTTTAAAGCTCCCTCAGGTGTTCTAATGGGCCAAGTTTAAGAATTGCTGGCCTGAATATTTGCAGCCTACTTGTATTTTCTAATCAGTATGGTTCTTTTATTCAACAAGAATTTACAAAGCATCTATCTCATGCCTGACAGTATACTAATGGGGATGAAACCTCTTAACAAGAATACCAAACAAGATAGAGTACTACCCTCAAAAATATCAGAGTCTAAATGGTAAGGTTTATGCAAAATAATCACAGAAATTATAATAACAAAAGTAATAAGAGCTCATATGTATCATTTATTATGTCCTATGCTGTGTCTCTCCCTTAATCCTCTCAGTTCTTTTTATTACCCCACTTTATAGGTGAGGGAACCCAGATTCAGAGAACTTGTAGAATGTGAAGGATACAACAGTGCTAATTAAGTAGCACAGATGGGACTCGCACCTAGCAGCCTTCACTCCTAACCAAATTACACTAAAGAGAACATGATTAAATGCTATAAAAGCCCAGAGGAGGAAACTAATAATTCAATCAGACAAGGAGGATAATGTTTGGGAAAAACCTCATAAAAGAGGTGAAACTTAAGCTTAGAAGTGAAATATTAGAATTTTTCTATGAGGAGAATAACAGGCCAACTAAGTTAGGTCAGAATAACATTTATAAAGGTAAGAAGGTGCGTGCATATATAAAGAATGGAGGATAAGTGGTATGACAGTGAAACTGAGGTTCTAGGGAAGTTTTATTGGGGCCAGGATTTCCCCATGCTCCAAGTTAGTCATGGAACATTGCAAAAAATATTACAAATGAGTAGCTGAAGAAGAATGGTTTTGCTCCTGTGACTCTGATCAATATATGATTAGTAATTGATACTGCACCTACCAGTTCCTCATTGTTTAGTGATGTTCTTATCACCATAGCCAGAGACAGACCAGATTTCCGGGCAGCTAGGGTCTGAAGTAAACAAAATTATGGTTTATTAATACATGGGGGAGTTGTAAAGTACACATTGCTCATTAGAACATGAAAATAAAAGAATATTGGCGATCACTGTTCATGTTTCAGTCAACAGGAACCTGCCATTTTCAATCTCAGTGCATCTGGAATGTGAAGTTATACAATATTGAAACTGGAGAAAATCCTGCCGATCATTAGACCCAACCCCTAGTGTTTTACAGGTGATGAAACTGAGGCCCCAAAAGGTATATGACCAGTCCAAGGATTCCCCAGCTAGCAAGAGGCTTCTGGAACCTATTCTTCCCCAAGGTACTCATAGTCACATCCCTTCAGGAACTCTATCTGTGAGGTTGAGCCTCCTTCACTTGCATCGTGGCCCTGAATCACAACTAATGCTCACTGGATCTTGAGTAGTTCAGTGCCCTTTAGAACCTTCCCCCATATTTAGCCAGGATATATTCTTCTAGTTGCCCATTTTATCTACTGAGAATCATTATAGCTAGATAAATTTTTCCTGCTTAATGCTGAAAACATAAGTGATAAGGATGAAGTCCTTTTAGTTTTCAAACCAGTGAAATAGAACAATTTCATCTGCTTCCTACCCAAAAACATTTGTGATATAATAAACTCAGCAATGCTATAAAGAAATTTGGAAATTAGAAGTGCCAGCTAGGAACATTAAATTTGCTATCCCATCGAAGGGAAGCCAAGTGGAATAATGCTGGTTATCCCTAGAGACCCACCTGGTCATAAATATATCTCCTTGGGATTATGAAGCCATACATTCAGATAAAGTTTTGCATACATCCAAGGAAAGAAGCCACTTATGCCCATTTCCACCCCTATTGCATCAACATACAGAAGGCTTACTAAGGGTTTACCCAAGATAATTCTTCATCTCTGGTAAGTAATTGTTCCTAAATTTATGTTTTCTTCCATTTCCATTTGTTGTATACATACTTAAATTCCAGAGTTAAATTCCTGAAGGATCTAAACTTCTCAAACTTGCATGTCTCTATTTCTCTATCATGTCCCTATAAATAAGGGCAGTGAATGTTTGAGAGGACTGACAAATTAAAATCAAATAAATTGAAAAGCACTTACCATAGCCTGAAGATTCCAGAGGGAAAGCAAACAAAGTTTCAATAATTAAACATGAGAGGTGGGAAGGATAAGAACAATGCTAAGTTAATCCAACACTTTAAAATAATATCACACTATAGTGACAGGAATCTGAACAACTGCAATGACATGTCATGCTTTCCACTATGAGATCTTTAAAGGCAAGATCTTATTTGAAACCAAAGTCATGGTATTCAGATGAAGGGTTTTTTTTAGCAAAATTTAAAGATTCTGGTATAAAAATTATGCACATTGTTACTTAAAAGGAAATTTATATTTCTTTGGGGAAATACATTTTTATGTCATAAACTATTAAGAACTCTACATGCCCATAGACAAATGTAACTTCTTTTTGGAAACAGGTCTCACTATGTAGCCCAGGCTGGTCTCAAACTCATGATCCTTCTGCCTCAGTCTCCTGTGTGCTCAGATTATAGGCATGTGACACCATACCTGGGGTAACAACATTTTAGATGATGAAAAATATTTTTTATGCTGACGGGATGTTTCTTTCTTAATAATCTTATATAGACTACTATCACACTATCAATCCTTTGCATTTCTAGGTGGTCTTTAAAGTATTTCATTGTAAGAGAGTGAGTTATTCAGAGTCATGTTCTGGATTAATAAAAATTTGAATGACTTGGGAACCATGGTTTTCTTTAGATAGAAGAGTTTATTAATTTGGCTAAAATTGACCTTAACATAAAAGAATAAAGAGTGGATTAAAATTATCTGCTTCCTTTATAAAGTATTTAATTCTATGGGGTCAAAGTGAAGAAGTTCCAGGCAAGTCTTAAACTTTGCAAGTGAAGCTTGCAGTCATTCACAACACTGAATACATCAAAGTCCAGTTGCAGTACCATGCTGTGTGATTCCCCTTGGCTCAATTATAGAGTCATTTTAACTGAAAGTGTAATTTCAACTAATATCAAAAGTGGTTGAGAGGTTAGAGTTATTTCTTTCATCAAATACATTTTAAAGAAATAGTAAGACTTGACAGAATCTGGCCTCATATATTTTGCTCTATCAAATATTTGTAGGCTAGATTCTAATGAGAAGAACGTTACGTTTTAATAGTGAAAAAAGTAAATGCACGTGACCAGCAAGATTTAAGAGGAGTAACTTACCACATCTCGTACAATAGGCAAAGTTTTCTTCCTTCGGAGATCTGGCATGCTGTCAATACCATAAAGTCCCCGCCCAGCCCTGGAAAAGGGAATAAAAGCAATGATTTTAATGGATAAAATGACTTCCTTACAAGAAAAAAAATATCCATTGTTCATGTGAAGGCTGGAAAAAACTAAGTGTACATTGTGGTTTTCAACTAATTTGTAAAGTAACAAGGATCCAAGATTTTGGGACTTTGTTCAGTGCAAAGGAGAAACTCTAGCTACCACAGCAGCTGACCACTTGCTTGCTTAGACAGCTCCAAGAGTTGAAATGTAAATGGCCTGGTTAGAATATTATTTTTCCATTGGTATCACAGAGAAGAGAATCAAAATTGTTAGGTATATGGAAGTTTATACTCTCAGAAAGAAAAAGAACCAAAGAAATTTTAGTGAAACTTTGACCTGTCTGCAACAGTAACAAAATTACCTTGATTAAAAAAAAAAATGCTGTGCACTGCATCTGTCAAGATTCAACTTCAAAATGGCATTTTAAGGAACCATGATCGAAATTAAAATATTTATTATTACTCTGAACCTGAAAGTTCCATTTACCTGAATTTATTTCACAGACAAATGCAAGGGATTAAAATAATTTGTTGTATAAGGATAGTCATTGAGGTAGTTTTGTAATAGTAAAAGAAAAAAAAAAGTAGGTAACCTAAACATCCCTCAATAATGTATTAGTTAAGTGGATTTATAGGAAGGATGTGATAATCAAAGCAAGTTAAGAAAATATTTAAGTACATATATGAAAACATACTCCTAATATGTTAAGTAGAAGCAGTAAGCTTGCATATTAATAAATTCAGTACAATCCCATTTGTGTGTGTGGTTATATATGCACAGAAAACATCTAAAAGGATATTTTTTAAACACACAGCTCTGTGCAGTAAAACTGGGTGAGAGAAAGAGAAGATTCTTGCTATATTATAGATGTAGTACAGTTCAGTTTTTTTATACTAATGTGTTTTTTTGCATTTAAAACTTTAGTGCAGCCAAAAAGCTGCTAAAAATCACTGAGTACCTGCTTAGTCTACAAACCTCTTGTTAACTTATTCGTGGTGATCAACACAGCTTATGGCTTTCAGTGACGCTGCACAGCTCTGCCACTGCAAGGGGCAAGGGGCTACAACAACCAATAATATGCTATCAGTCTTTTTTATAGTCCAGTTTTCCACTGACAGAGAGATGCCTTCTATGCAGTTGCAGCTTAGCTTAACACAAGACAACTGCTTGTCTTACTGAATTTTTCTTAGTAGCATAGGCTACTTTTTTGGACAAATCACAACATTCATCATACAACTCACATTAAAATAATAACATCCAAATAGTAATAAAGATAAAATGGTACTATATGGATAGTAATAATGCCATAACTTATATATTTGGAAATGACATCAAATGCAATAATAAATGTTAGCAATTAAAACCATTGCATGTCTATAGGGAGGATGTTGATCATGAAAAATTATTCTTATAGTCAAGTACCTCAATTAAAAGTTTCCTTTGGGATTATAGGATAAGGAAGAAGTGTAAATGTGGAACATGGATAAAGATGAAAGAGAAAAGAAGGAAGACAACACACACAGTGGGGTGAGGTGAAATTTAAGATCCTGTTCACCACTTTATAGTAAAGAAGCTCATACATGAGACAGGTGTAGTGACAAACACCTGTAGTTTCAGCTATTTGAGAGGCTGAGGTCAGAGAAATGATTGAGCCTAGGAGTTTGAGGCCAGTCTGGACAACATAGAGAGACCTAGTTTTAAGGGAAAAAAAGTTGAATGTGGCTTCTGTCATTGCTCAGAATAAGGTCAATTCTAGCCAAAGGGCTGTAATAATCACAATGAGTCAGAGTTTATGAATTTGATTCACAAAAGTGAATTGATGGCTTCTTATTCTTCTCCTTTCTTCCTTCTTCTTATTTCTCCTCCTCCTCTTCCTTCTAATAACTTTGTCTTTTCATAGCTTCCATTTTGTTATTATTTATTTTTAGTTGACAAATAATAAGTGCATACAGTTGTGGGCTGTAATACAATGTTTCAATCTATGAACACACTGCAGAAAGATTCAATCAAGTTAATACAGGTTTCACCTCCCCAATTTATCATCTTTTTTGTGGTGAGAACATTAAATGCTCACCAGATCTTTAAGAAACCTCAGGCTGGGAAAGGGGAAAAAGCAATTAACTTATTTTTTTCCTAACAACCATCTGCAAAAAGCACATCAACTACCAACTACTGAAACTTGTTGTTTCCTTCCTGCCCTCTTCCAGTATTCTTGTTTCTCCACACCAACTCCTGTTTGACCCTCTCACATCCAAAACATCAAATACATGGGAAGAGATCTAAGTAAGTGGATTTCTGTGGCTTTTGTCAGTATCATTTGATAAAATGTTAGATTATGATTACAAGAAATTTCTTTCTCCCCATGTGCACAGTATTATTAATATGGATGCTAATAAATATCCTCCTTTTACATTGCACATCACTCAAACTAGATGCCTTCCAGTGTTTTGAAATGTTTTGACTCTGTAATAATGTAACTTTCATACCTATGTAAAGAAACACATTCAATTGAGATAATGACTGAGAAAGGGATTTTATAAACTGAAAAGCGTTATGTAATTGAATGGCATATTTTCTACCTATCAAGCCATTTATTTCTTTTATTTATATTTTCCTTCTCATCAAACTTATTTCAAATTCTCAAAGTGTACCCAGAATCTTGAGCCAATCCCATATACTCAAAAATTTGGAAATAGGTTACACACATGCATTTTTGGAGTCTGATCCTTCTTTCCTGTGCTTGACTTGTGAGAACACAGAGATGCAAGGACTCGGTCAAATCTGAGCATTATGAAATAATGAGCCTAAGTTAGACGACATGTACCCAAAATGCATCTCTCTCTTGAATTTGCCATTTATTTTCACTGAACTTACGTTTTTTAATTTGGAAAACTGCAACACAATGAAAATGTCATCTTCACCTTCACAAATGAGTTTAATTTTTTAAAACCAGGTTGTGTTTGCTTTTACTTTTACAATTTCATCATTACTATAATAAGTTTATATAAACATACATTTTCATGATCCTACACATAAAGTAATAACAAAGCTTCATTGCAAGCCTAGACCTTAAAAAAGCAGTCTGGGCTGGAGGTGTGGCTCAATGGCAGAGTGTTTGCCCAGCATTCATGAAGTGGGGAGTGTTTGGCCTCAACTCTTCATCGATAGAACAGTACTTGATAAATTCTACACAAACAGAAATATTTTTTGTAATATTTATTGGCAGTCTTTCAGTCTTCAGGAGAGATGTGGGAAAGAGTAAATTAAAAAACGATAGAGTGGGAATATCAGTCAATAAAATCATTGACTTTCCAGGCAAGAGGTCAGGTTCAAACTCAATAGTAAAAATCTAGAAGAAACTAAGCTTAATCAACAGGGTCAGAGGTAGTCTAGTCATCCAAACTGCTCATAGCAGACAGGCAAATAAAGTTGAGACTGATTTTAGGAACAAGTTGTTTGGTTTCAGCCTTTTTTGGTGTTGTTGATTGAATTAAGATGGTTCTGACTATAGCCAACAAACTGGCTAAGCATAGTTAATATTTCTGTGGTGCATACCAGGTGCCAGTTACACTGCTAACAGTTACAGTTAGCCTTGACAGAATGCTTATTATTCTAAGCACTTTGTTCATATCACCCCATTTTATTCTAAGAAATTTCTATGACATACAAGTATAGTTACATCTTTCATTTTATAAATGCAGAAATGGAGACGTAGTAGTTCAGAATCACCTGGAAGAGACTACCTAAAAATGGCAGTGGGCAGGATATCAAACCATTCTCTTAGGCTCACCATGCTCAACTGCTTAGGACTGGATCATTTCCTAATCACAACAGTGACATGAGTTGGGGCCCATAACTAATCCTGTTTTACATCTGATGAAACTAAAGTTAAGCAGTGCATCTGGACCTGGGATCATGGAACCATTATATGCCAGAGCTTGATTTCCTCTGCAGGTTTATCTCACCTCAAAACTCATGTTCTTAAGAGCAAATTAGGTTTTTGCTAGGAGGAAGTAAGTGCCTTGTCTAATTGATGCCAGGGTTCCTCTGTCATTTTGGGTATTCTTCCAACATATTTTAAGAGTATTACTGCTATTGTTTTCATCACTATTATTTTGGTGCTATTAGGGTTTGAACTCAGGGTCTTGTACTTCCCCCATTCCTGTTTTGCTTTATTTTCTGATAGAATCTTGTGGCTTTGCCTTGGACCGTGAACTATGATTCTTTCACCTATCCCTCCTGCATAGTTGGGATTACAGGCTTTACAACCATGCCCAGTTTCAAGAGAGTATCATCTTCAGATCAGAAATCCTACTTCACTGCAAAAATAGCCCCAATCTTCCCCCAAATGGTTCCTCCCCAGTATGCAAGTGTTTTTCCTAGAAAGGAGCCTTTACAATACAGGCATTACTAATGGGATAAAAAGGAGATCAGTAGAAATATCAGGAATGCCAAGAATCACATGAAATTCACAAGATAAATTAAGCAAAATACATCCCAATTCAACATTTCCACTACTACTCAGTTTTTTAATTAATGCTTTTAATTGACAAGTCAAAATTGTGCTTTTGTGGGATGCAATGGGATGTTTTGATGGACATAAACAATGCAGAATGATTCAATCAAACTAATTAAGAGATCTAATGCCTCATTCACTTATCATTTTGGGGTGAGACCTTTAAAATTTTAAATTTTAGGTAAGATAACCTTAATATTTTCAGTGATGTTCCTATTTCTTTTTTCTTTTCATAATAATATTAAAAGTAATTGTTGAGTTCAATAAAATCTGATTTAAGTTGATTCTGATTCAGTCATTCGATGTTGGAAAATAAATACAATACAGATTCTCTAAATGACTTGTGTTCTGTAATTTTTAAGAAATCTGATATTTAGGTAGAGGACAGAAAGACTTACTTTATTGACTTAAGTACAGATGATTATTTCTATTCAAAATACAGCTGATAACATACT